TAAAAGGTCATATGTGGCCAATCAGGTATATGAATGCTTTGAAATTACTTATTTTAAATAGCATATCTACAGGTTTAAGGCAGTACGTGGTCCAAAAAACCAGGAGAGATGTTATTAATTTGGCTTTGTGCAACTTGGCTTTGTGCAACATATCTATGGAGTTGGCATTTTTTTTACGATTTTCTACCTTGGCATTGCTAATAACATATAAACCTTCTTTAAAGGCAATTAGAACTTGTAGTGACTGTGTCAATCGTGCAGAATCGACACACATTTGAGAAGCCAGTGAGAATCTACAATTAGGAAATGCTATAATCTCCACCAGTGCATGGGCTGCATCGAGCAACCCTTCAATGGCATATTGCGGCTTTGCGAAGAAGGCAGCAGCAACCAAAAAGAAGCTGACGGCGAGATATCTAGAAGCTTAGTTACTATTTTTTTTCGATGTTTAATTTTTTTAATGGGTGACAGAGCATATGCAGTGCATCCTTCATAGTTTCAATCCACCTTGGTCTCTCTCTCTCTCTCTCTTTCTCTCGCAACAACCCACACCAGGGTGAGGTAATTAGGTGGTACGTAAGTTTTAATTTTGATGTACTTTAGGAATACATTAGATTTTGGGTTGGGTGATGTATAGGGGTATACGTATGCATTTCAACATTTTTTTTTTCCCGGTTTTTTTCAACCTGCCTGATTCTCCCTTTCTGGTTCATGTTATTAGTGAGGGGGGGAGGGAGGAGATCTGTATAATGTTTGACTCTATTACTGTTTCTGGTGTTTTCCCAGAAAACCAAGTATTTGCTTTCCGGTCCCGTTGGTATCCAACAATTTTCGTAGGTACTCATTGCAGTTGAGATTGAAGGAGAAATATGTTTTGTCAAGAGAAATGGAAGCGTGATTTGTGGTTTGAGGTGAGAAAAATACAAAGTGTTGGACACCGAAAGAGTTGTGTGATGAGCTGAACTATGAATTTAGGAGAGCAGCAAGCTAGTGTTTGAAATGCCCTAAGAGATGATATTCTTCAAGGGCTGGGTGCTAAGGTGAATGCACACATGGTCACTGGGCCACCCCTTGGTCTTTCTGGTTACGAGTTCAAAGCAACAAGTTTAGTGATGGTTTCATGAGCTGTTCTGATACTCACGCCTCGCATTGCATGGTAGTCGTCTTGAACATGCCATCCATGGCAGGGTAAAAAATATTTGGATAATGTTCAAACACACATGGACTTTATTGGTATACTATATCAGAACAATGATGACACGTCATTTGTTATAAAAATTTGATCATTTGGTATAGATATTTTAGTCTTATATGTTCTAATATTTTGCAAGAGTAGGATAGCAAGGTGCAATCTCAGGGAAGTGTGAAGAAAAGCTTCTTTTTGGAGTATATAGAAAGCAAAAAGAGGGCATACCATATAATGATTTAGGGTAAATTACTGACATCCCTTATGGGTTGGGGTAAATACATTGAGAGCCCCACAAGAATTAAAATGAGAGAGAAAAAGAAAAAAAGAGAATCAAGTTAATTTAGTTATGATTATGAGTAAGATTGTAACCTGAACAAACCAAATCTTTGCCACGCCCTAGCTATCTCTTGATGTGTGAAAGCCAGCTTCCATATCACATGAAGAGAAGTTTGGATTAATTTATTGGTGTGTGAATCATTTTCTGTGAATAAAATAAAATCATAAAAATGTTCTAAACGTGTGTGCCTCAAAGCTAATATCTGACTAATAAACAAATTTCACAAAGCAATGGTTCAAATCCACAGTTAGCCTAAGCCTAGCGTATCACATATAATATACGTTTATGCATTTAGTTACTTTTTAAGAATAAAATATTTGACCAATGATTAAAGCGTGTTGGCCTAAAACACTAAAATATTTGACTAATGATGAAAGCGTGTTTGCCTAAAACACTACAACATTAGGAGTTTGATTAAACAACAATGATAGAGACTACTAATTTTGAAGCTCTAAAAAGATCACTAATGACATGGTATTTAATAACAATGACCAAGACCAAAATATCAAATCATTCTTGGTGGGGTCTACTGCCAGTGATAGTACTAATTAGTACTCTCACTCATTTTCTTTGATTAAATGATATTCACACCTATGTTCATCTTAGTACCCTATAATGTGAATTCAAAAATAAAAAAATAAAAAAAAATCAACGGTTATTTCATTTTTTGTATTTGTTTTAGTTTTTAATCTTTGTATCATATTGTTCTCATTTTATTCTATTTTTTTTGAAGTTTAGAAAAAACAAAAATAAGTCAATTTTGTTAGCTTTTTTCTGGATAAAATTTTGTTTTTTACTTTTTGTGTTTAATAAGAAAAAATGAAATGATTTTTTTATTATTATTATTATTTAAATCGTCGAGTTGAGATAGATTTAAAAAAGAAAATTAACTCGAAAGTAAAAAAATGTTTAGAAAAAACAAAATTAAATAAGTCAAAAAAAAAAAAAGCAAGTTGACTTTTTAGATTGAGCAAAATGAAGAATAGGTTTCAAAAGTTGACTTGCTTTTTTATAAATATATGCAGAGAGAGAGAGAGAGAGAGAGAGAGAGAGTGATGATGATAACATTATTGGAAAGAGTTGTTTATGAAGAGCCTTCAAATCTTTTCACAATGGCTATGCCTCCAATAATCTTCTTGTCATTAGCAATTTTAGGCTTGGCAGAAGCAAGTGGAATACACCTCCAATATTCCAAGTTCTGCATTAATATGAATTTTATGAATATGGTTGGATCATCTTCTTCCTCCTCTTCTTCACATAATCATTCTGTGATCAAGCTCTCAAGCAGAACAGGGATGCTGATTGTGTATACTCCGCCGTTCCTTGCCGGAGTCGCTTCCTTTATCCTCTTCTCCGGTGGTGATTCAAGATTTTTGCTAGTAAAGTCTGCTCTAACCTTCCATTTCTTTAAGAGGGTCATGGAGGTATTTATTCTATTTCTCTATTGACTCTTCTATTCTATTCCTTTTGTTTATATCATATGTAACGTTAATATACTCATCTTTTCCTTTTTTTTTTCAATCGCGTGAAAAGGTTGAAGGTTAAACTTCGTCCTGAAACTAATCTAACAACTAATATATAAATTACACAAAAAAAAAAAGGAAAAAAAAGAAGAGAGATTTCACTAATCATGTTTGTAATTTCTAGGTTTGATAAGGCTTTTAATTTTAAAAAAAGAAGAGAGATTTCACTAATCATGTTTGTAATTTCTAGGTTTGATAAGGCTTTTAATTTTATTTATTTATTTATTTTTTTCATTCGATAATCATTTCTTCATTTGATAACATTGGCTGGAGGTGGTCGGATGTCACTGACAACGACCAATGGTAGTAGGAGGTGATGGAAGAGGGGAGAAGTAGGGAGTGGAACTTGATTTTGAAAATATTAAATACAATTTTCTAAAGTTTTAAAAATTTTAAATTTAATTTTACTTTTATAATAATAATAATAATTATTATTTTTTGTGGATTCAAATTTCTTTATGAGGATTCGGGATACTTTGTCTATTGTCAAATTATGTGATCATATTTTTGTATTTCTAAATTTTTATACATTAAATTGTGAAAGTATTATATTTTTACTTGAAAACTTTATGACAACCCATTAAAATTATACTTCTATTTGGGCAGATCATATAAGGATTGACTTGCACATGCACATGTCTGTGTGCGCACATACACATACACTAAAAAATAAGTTTGGTTGTACTATACTAACTACATTGTACTCATAAAGATAATTCTCTGAATTTATAATATTTTCACACATTATTGTATAAAAAAAATCTAAGAATACAAAAATCGATTATAGAATTAAATATAATCATATATAATTAATTTCTGTACAAGTAGAAGAACTGTTATTGTATATAATGTCTAGCTAGCTATTTAACTCATAATATTTAATGCATGTAGGTTCTATTTGTTCACAAATACAGTGGTGGCATGGTTTTGGACAGTGTCATTCTCATCTCCACCACGTATTTCACCACAACTTCAACCATGATATACACCCAACACGTGGTCCAAGGTTTCCAAGAGCCATTGATTGATCTCAAGCTTTTTGGTGTGGTGCTATTTTTACTTGGAATTTGTGGCAACTTTTACCACCATTGTCTCCTCTCAAAAACCAGAGATCAAAAGGGTGACAAGAGCTACAAAATCCCTAGAGGAGGCCTCTTCAATCTTGTCATTTGCCCACACTATCTCTTTGAAATTGTGCAGTTTTTAGGGGTCTCCTTTATCAGCCAAACTACATTTTCATTTGCCTTTGCTTTGGGATCAGCTTTGTACTTGACTGGAAGGAGTTATGATACAAGGAAATGGTACCTCTCCAAATTTGAGAATTTCCCTAAACATGTCAAAGCTTTGGTTCCTTATGTTTTCTAGATATATATGCTTAAAAGGCGACTGTGAAATTGGTTTGATTTACCATTTATAAAAAAATTTAATGATTTAATTGACCGAATAGCTCTTGACGTGGTAGAGGATTGATGTAATTGAGCGCCGCTTGATTGAGACGCAAGATTTACTTTGATTTGATTTGATTTAAACAAATTTGTAATAAGCACCGTCATTGTTAAAGTGTATTTGGATTGATAGATGAAATAATGTTTTCAACGAAATGGGTGCTAACCTACACATATGAAGTTTGTCAGTTATCTTTTAACATTTTTCACATGGTTGGGCCAACCCTAATGGTAGAAGTCAAGAGGCCGCCTTGTGTTCTAAATTTTGTTTGAAAAACAGAGTTCTCAAATAATTTTAGTTCTTATTGAATCATTAATTCAAAAATAAAATTTTACCCAAACAATTGAAATCACAATTGAAGCGTGTTGACATAATATTTTATTTTCCATCCGTTGTGGTCTATCAATAGGCTAAATCTAATTTAATTATAGTTGTTGTGGGGATATATTTTCTGAGTACCAACACATGGCAAGGTGATACCGATGTGTTAGCCGAGGTGCCACATGTCCTGGTCGTGACGCCGAGGTGATCTCGGCAAGGCCAATGGTAGAAGTCAAGAGGCCGCCTTGTGTTCTAAATTTTGTTTGAAAAACAGAGTTCTCAAATAATTTTAGTTCTTATTGAATCATTAATTCAAAAATAAAATTTTACCCAAACAATTGAAATCACAATTGAAGCGTGTTGACATAATATTTTATTTTCCATCCGTTGTGGTCTATCAATAGGCTAAATCTAATTTAATTAGTTGTGATCTATCAACTATGGCCAAATCTAACTTTATTAATGATGTGGCATGTTGATTGTGGTTTGTTGATTCAGACCATGTACCATTTTTTAAGACTAAGGCCAAGTTTGGGAAGACTAAATAAGTCCACATTTTTTATCTTTTTATCTTTTTTGGGTCACATCAATCAACATATTCTTTCTATTTTTCTACACATTTTTTTTTATAAAAAGTCAAAAAGTACACTTATTTAGAACATCCCAAACAACCCCTAACTATGGTCATACATATATATATATATATATATATATTATTCCTATTGCTATTTTTGTGCATGATGCATCATGTTGGTCAACGTGGGATACAAACGTGGTGAGAAACTTGTAAGCCCATGATGAGCAAATAATGTGGTTGTGAGTTGAAGTATATCCAGCAGTTACAAATTGAAGGAAGAAACTGCCTAGAGTAGTTGTTGAAGAAAAACGTGGGATACTGCCATGATGTTGAGAGAGCGGTAGCGTGGGATATTGCCTATGAATAGCTTAGACAATGGAGAGAAAATGAGACCTTCAGTACAATTCACAACACTTGTGAAATCATAGGAATACTTTAACTTATTTATGAGCAAGGGCGGACCTAGGGCTAGACATAAGTGGCTGCAGTCCAGTCCAAAATTTAAAAAATTTGTAGAAATTTTTTTTTCAGCCTAACCCAACCCAACCTCCCCACCTCTCTCAGCCAGCCCCAAATAAGGGCCAATAGTGTTTTTGTTTATTTTTTAGATAAATAGCTCAACAATAATCCAATACTTACCCAAAAAAATAAATGGGCAGCCCAATAAATTTGTATTTATTTATAGTGGCAGTCCAAAAATATAAATAGCAGTCTCATACAGCACCTTCTTTACGCTTCTGCACGTCCTTTTCTTCTTTACGGTGGTACAGGTACTACTCTCTCTTGACCTTTTTTTTTTTCTTCATCTTAATATTATTTTGGTTGAGAATTGATTTAATTAATCTTATTGCTCTTAATCTTATCCAACATTTATTGACTTCAAGGCCTGAATGGATTTTTTTTTTCTTAATCTTTTTTTCTTCTTAATCTTTTTTACTCTTAATCAAAAGAATATTTTTTGCTCTTAACCTTTTTATTCTATATTGTTTTTAGTTTTTAAACTTTGAACAATTTTTTTGGACATATATCAAAATAATGAAAGCCTAAATAAAAATTATTGAGGATATATATAAATACCCTAATATTTAAAATTATTGTGAATATACTCTAGTTTAATATTAAATAAGGCTAATTTTTTTTTAAAAATTTTTCTTTTAGGTTATAAATAATGGAACCTCCACCACTCAAAAAAGGCAAAACCCTTTTCTCATTCTACCAATCAAAACTGAAGTCTAGTAGTACAACATTCAATATTGTTGAAACCTCATTTTCTGATGTGCAACTGCCGCCTTCCATGCCTGAAGCAAATAAACCAAGCGAATTTGATTCAACTGTTATTGAACGGGGATCCTGGTTTATGCTTGCAAATTTGTGAATATCCGGTTAATCAATGAGATGAGGTTAGACGAGCTTATATGAACTTGGAGCCTTATCAACCTAAACTTGAGTATCCTAGGTCCTCATTTGGAAAGCAGAATCGCCGATTCCAACATATTTGGTTTAAACAATTTTCTTGGCTAAAGTATTCTTCTTCAAAGGATAAAGCATATTGTTTTTCATGCTTTTTGTTTGATCAGCCAAATAAGTCGATCAGTCGTTCTGCACTTGTTGATGAGGGGTTTAACAATTGGAAGAGAGTAAATGATGGATCCAAATGTGTTTTTTTGCTTTATGTCGGACTTGCATCTTCCTTACATAGTCGTTGTGTTATTAGTCATGATAATTTAAAGAAATCTTCCCAACACATTGAAAAAGTGTTGAATGCGCAATCAAAAGAAGAAATTTTGAAGAATCAAATGCGGGTAAAGGCGACAATTGAAACTATTCAAGTACTTGCTCTCCAAGGACTCGATTTTAGAGGTCATGATGTGTGACAACCCTCACTCCTGTTTACTGATAACACCACTGATTAGTGCTAATCTATGATTAAGCATGTTAACTGACTGATTGATTGAAAATTTGAACTGATTGACTGAGTGTGTTAGTTAAATGCATTTCCATCTGTTTGACTATTAAATGATCTGTTCGTGTTTTATGTTTAAACTGCAAATTGAAGGCCTTATCGACGGTCGAATCTGAAATTGATTGATGTTTTATGCTAAGTGGAATTTATGTGATTTTATGGTATATTTAATTGAAATTTGATTTGGAATGAGTAAATTAGGTTAAATAAAGCTAAAGTGCATTAGGTTGATTATTCACCAAATTGCCACTTAGTGGGTTATGCTAGACCACTCCTCTTCTCACCCTTACATTGTTTGAGCACCCTTTTCCTCAGCCACTTTGAGAGCTAAAACCGACTAGAGTGAGAGAGTGAGAGAAATTGAGTTCAACTTGGAGGTTTTGCTTGGAAATTATAGGAATTGAAGGATAATTTGCATAATTGAGCTCCCATATCTTGCATTCAAGACCTAAGGTAGGACATTTACCTTCTTGTTTGTGAATTCAAGTTAATTGTTGCATGGTTCATGGTAAATAGGAACTTAAGATCATAAATTGGTTGTAGATTGTTGAATAGAGGCTTAATTCATGCATGCATGTGCATATCTTGAAGTTTTGAGTTGTTTTCATGAAAATTGCTACATGCATGTTCATATCTTGGGCTTAGTCCATGAATTCATCTTGTTTTTGAGGCAATTGAGCTTATTTGAGCAAGTAATTGAAGCTTTGAATGTGATTGAACACATGCATGCTACATTTGAAGTATATTCTTGAAGTTTGGTTTGAAATTGGGTTTAATTGACTCACCTTTGGGCATCGATTTTACAAATTGAGCTTTGAATCATGTTATATTATGAGTTTTAAAGTGTTTTCCAGAAAATTAGCCCAAAAGGATCAAATTTGGTATATTGAAACTTGATTTTGAGCTTGAGGTTCAAATCTGGAAATTCCAGATTTTGGACTCCCTCTCGAGTGGGGTAAGTAGCGCTTGAACGGAAAATTCGTGTGTCCAGCACTTTTGTTGTGTTTACAGTCCGCTCGAGCGGGGTTTTGCACGCTCAAGCGAGGACTTGTGTCACACGCTCGAGCGGGTGTCGAGTGTCCATCGAGCGTGATTTTCACACATCCAGTACTTTTGCATTCCGCTCGAGTGGGAAAGTTTACGCTTGAGCAGAGCCTTTTGTTTGCATGTCCGCTCGAGCGGGGAAACCCATGCTCGAGCGGGACCTCTATTTTCTGAAAATTCTGAAAGTTTTTAAAGTACATCTTTGCATCCTCATTCCATCCTAGGCATTCCTAGGCCTAGTTTAAGACATCTTAATGAGGATATTGATGTAGAACCACACCGAGGCAAATTAGGGATTAAGCTATTATTTTCCAACTGTGTAGCTTAATGTGTGTTCACTCTGTAACTGTGTAGAGTTGGCATTCGAGGACGCGTACTAGCTTATCTGTAGCCCAGAACTCTGTGAGTAACAATGTTGTAAAGATATATTCAATTGAGATTATTTTCTGAACAAATGACTGTACTACTTTATGAAATGACACTGTTTACTGAATGAATGTTTGTCCTATTTGTGAACCGTATTCGTGGCATCCATAGCAATATACTGTTACTGAACTATTACTGCTACTGTTATAGAGATCTCTGTCGGTTCCCATGTTAGAACTACTACTGTTTACTGATACGATGGCCATCATTGACTATTCGGTCTGTTAAGACCTGCTGTACTGTTTTGCTATTGGGTGTACCACATATGACTATTATAGTTTCTGAATTACTGTATGGCATGAATTATGAGCCACAAACTTAATGACTGATATACTGATAAATGACTATTTTCAATACTAAAAGGACATTCATTCTTAACCTCTTTACGCATATGCTATTCACTGGGCTTTAGCTCACTGCTCATATATATATGTAGGTGTACAGGCACCGGACCGTTGCTAGGGACGTCGGGCTAAGCTCCCATTTTGTCAAAGCCAACCACCGTGCCTCACTGCGAGGTTCTAAGTCCTTCAAGCTAGGGCTTTTTGGGGTGTTTTAGTTTTCTCCCCTTGTATCTGGTTTTGTAACACTATATAGACTGAATGATATGTGTACCTGTACTGTACTGTTATGGTAGGGATTTGGTCCCTAACTCGATTATCTGTATATGATGTATGTACATACTGTTTTGTTTCGAATGTGAATATGTTTTAAAAAAAAAAGTCTTTTTGCATACAGACTGTCACTGCTCATTCGACATCTTTTATTTCTGTTTTGGCTTCCGCCAGCCCCTATACTCTGTATTACTGTCTTACTGTTAAACATGCCTTCGATAATCTCGGATTACTGGCTGGTTACGGTGCTAAACCCATAGAGACGGGTTTGGGTCGTGACATGATGAAAGCTCGACTTCATTGAATCAAGGTAATCTAATTGAATTATTAAAGTTCAAGGCGAGAGGGAATGATGCACTTGAGAGCATTATATTAAAGAATGCTCCACAAAATGCCAAGTACATTTCTCCAAAGATCCAAAAGGAGATTTTTCATATACTTGCTAACAGAGTTAGGAATATGATTTTTGATGAAGTTATAGGAGGTTATTTTTGTATTCTTGTTGATGAATCCCAAGACGAGTCTAAAAAAGAACAAAAGACCCTTATTTTCAGATACGTCAAGAATGATGGTTTGCTAGGGGAATGGTTATTTGATATCGTGGGTGTCGAAAATACATATGCATTGACTTTTAAAAAAGAGATATCGAATATCCTTTCTCGATTTAATCTCCCTATTCAAAACATGCGTGGTCAAGGGTATGATGGTGCTAGCAATATGCGTGGTGAATGGAATGGACTTCAAGCTTTATTTCTTAAAGATTGCCCATATGCATATTATGTACACTGCTTTGCAGATCGTCTGCAATTGGCCTTAATTACGGTAGCAAAAGATGAGCCTAATGTTTGGCAATTTTTTTCTCACTTGAGTTGTATTGTCAATCGTGTTGCTTCTTCTTCAAAGTGCCTTGGTGAGTTAAAATCTTTTCATAGGAGTGTGGTTGAAAATATGTTGGCTAGTGGTGAGCGTCAATCTGGTAAAAGGGCCAATCAAATTGGTACCTTGTATCGAGCTAGAGCTACTTGTTGGAGCTCACATTATGAATCTGTTAGAAACTTGATTGATATGTATGAGGCATCTTGTGTAGTTGTTGAAAGTCTTAATAAGAGTACAAATCAACAAATTCGCGGGCAAGCTGATGGTGTTTACAAAGTAATGAAGAGCTTTGAATTCATATTCATCTTGCACTTGATGGACAACATTTTGGGAATCGTGAATGCACTTTGTCAAGCCTTGCAACAGAAAACTTAAGACATCTTAAATGCGATGAAATTAGTCTCCACAACAAAAGCTCTCCTTCAAAAACTTAGACAAGATGATTGGGATACTTTTCTTGCAAATGTGGTGTCATTTTGCAATCGACATAACATTGCAATGCGTGATATGAGTTCTCCTTATGAAAGGGGTACAAGTTGTCGTCGTTAACAAGATCACATTACAATTGAGCATCATTATCACCTTGACATATTCAACTCTACAATTGATTTTCAATTGATAGAGTTAGAACATAAATTTAATTATGGGGTAGTGGAACTTCTTTCTCTTAGCTCGGCTTTGGATCCTAGTGGCAATTTTAAATATTTTAATGTGGATAATATTTGCAATCTTGCCGAGAAATTTTATCCCCAAGATTTCACTTCTCAAGACATCCATGCTTGAGATGTCAATTAATGCATTATAAGCTTGATGTTGTCTGTGATCCCGAGTTTCATAAGATATCTACCCTTGCCGAATTGTGCCGAGAACTATTTGTGACAAGAAAGTTTGAGCATTACACCATGATTTACAAATTGATTCGTCTTGTGTCAACCCTTCCTGTTTCTACGGTAACTACGGAAAGAGCATTTTCGGGTATGAAGCATGTTAAAATTGCCATTTGCAATTCAATAGGGGGTGAGTTTCTTGCCGATTGCTTGTCTCTCTACCTTGAATGAGACCTTACTTTGAAAATTGATCTAGATTCTGTAATCGATGAATTTGAATTTTTAAAGACTCGTCGAGCACAACTTTGTTAGATTGTTTTTAATATTAATTTAGATTATATTATTAAATTCTCATTTTTCTTATGTGGTTATACTTATAATATATTGTATAATTTTACCTTAATATTAGCCCACCCCATCGACAAATCCTGGGTCCGCCCTTGTTTAGGAGTAGTGCAATACATGTAATTAAGAGTAGGAGTACTAGTTAGCTCCAGTTCGTGTAACTTATTTCAGACCTGTCGATTGTAATATTTAATGCTTGTAATTTGATTCTTGTAATTAAGTGATAAATCCAAACATTATTAATCTAAGTTTTAGTTTATTTCATATTTTGTTTCTTCACATTACAATCTTTAAAGAAGTCTTTGACATTTGAAACTGTCAAGACAAAACATTCAACCACAATTACTTGATCTTGTGTGTTTGTCAAATTTTGATTTTGTCTATCAACTGAATTCTATAGCTTTACTCCAACTCAAATTTTTACTAACAAAGTGATAATTTCTTTTAAAATAATAAGTAGTGGCTTTTCAAATACGTAGATTGTAATAAACTCTTTAATAGTTGATTTTTTTCTTTTTTGTAAAATGCTACACCCATTAGGTTGATTCATTTATTTATTTATTTATATACACCTACTTTTTTTTTTATTGTGGAAGAAAATATATTAAGTGAAATACTGATACTATTTTACGTGATATTATTGGCAAATAAAAAGTCAAAACTTTTTCATTGATTCAATAACTCCAATTGTAAATCTAAATTATTCATAGTAAAATTGTTTTAAAAAAAATTTAATTGCAAAATAAAATTACTTTTTATATCTATATTTTTGGAACCGTGGTGCTACACGCATTACTTAATATATTAATTAATATACCAACATTAATTATGACATTATTATTAACTCCACTCATTAATTATATTATAAATATTAAAAATTTCTTAAATTATATTAAAACAATTGATATTCTTTTTATATCTATATTTTTAGAACCATAATATTACATGTATCAATTAATATATTAATTAATGTACGAATATTAATTATGATATTATTATTAACGACAATGCTACTTAGGTCAAATTTTGTGACTCAAAAGTGACTCAAATGGCCAAAACGACGTCGTTTTGAGTACAGAATAACATAAAAATGACCAAAACGACGTCGTTTTAGCCATTTGAGCCACTTTTAAGCCACAAAATTTAAGTTACGAGATATTTTCTTATTATTAATTTCATTTATTAATTACATTATAAATATTAAAAACTTCTTAAATTATATCAAAACAATTTATATTCTCTTTGGAAAGAACAAGAGCCGACTAGCCTCATCAATTCAGTAGGTACCCTTTATTAATTGCAGATGTGAAATGGGGTGAAAACTAAAAATTTAATTTAAATTATAAAAAGTCATGGGATGCCTTATAGATGTCTTTCCAATCCACACGCAAAATTTGAGGGGACAGAGAGAGAGACAGAGGGGAATGGAGACGATAGCAATGGCGGAGAAGAGTTTTGTGTATGAACAGCCTGACTCTGTTATCATGAGAGCTATGCCTCTGATAACCCTTTTCGCAGTCTCATTATTGGGTTTCTCAGAAATCATCGGCAAACACCTCCAGTATTCAAAGTTCTGGAATGTTAATAGCAATTCTCAGTCCATGTCAAAGAAGCAGCAGAAGCAGATCAAGCTCTCCAGTAAAACCGGCATGCTCATGTTCTATGCTCCTGCCTTCCTCGCCGGAGCAGCTTCCTTCTTCCTCTTCCCAGATGGTGGACTCAGGTTTCTTCTACTCAAATTGGCTCTAACCATCCATTTCTTCAAGAGGGTCTTCGAGGTAAATCCCATTCCCCCTTCTTCTTCTCCATTTTTTTTTTTTAACAGGCTGTTTGGATCTGTTTACACGCATACATAGTTCAGAAATTAGGGTACAGCAAGGAAGTTCATGTTGTAGTAGACGATGACTTAACTTGTGGGACCTTTTTGATTTGTTTTGTGTATTAGGACACAGAAATTTGCTACATATAGATATAGATACACATTAAATTGTGTTCTATTGACTCTGGGCGTTCCAACCAAATTCTCTGAATATAGATATGTGTTTTTGGGTTTATGGATTTTATGGAAGAAAAATAGAAACTTGATGAATGAAAGGTAATCATAGAGAATTGGGTCCATAGTCATCAAATTCAAGGATTTTTGAAGTAATTGTATAAATATAGTGTTTGCTTTCGGTGTTAGAATAGCTTTAGCATAGCAGACTTCATTATATTATTAATTGTATAGTGTCCTTTCTCTCTCTATAAAGAGAGCCTTCATCCCTTTGTAAATCACACAACATAATACAAACATTTCAGAGTCTCTCTCTCACTCTATAGCTTCTCTCACTCTCTCAAACTAATCTTTCAACTCTATCTCCCAAATAGGCAAAAGCATCAATTTGGAGCTTCCAGTGGTTTAATGGAGCCCTAATTCCTTTCTTTCCTCTGGAAAAATGTCCACATCTTGAAGAAGCATGTCTCAAAACATTGGCATGCCTCTACTGAAAATTTTTAAATTTCCTCATAAATGATTTTTAGATTGGATGGTGGACCTTACATGTCAATTTCTATATAAAGAAAAAAGGGTAAATAAAATTAGTTTGTAATTTCATATACCCTTTCTTCAAAATGAAAACACCATTTCCCCAGTTCCATCCTTATTTCCACCCTGCTACTGGTTATCACCATGAACGCCACTATTCACTGCTTCATACCATACATATCGCTTGCCTACCACAATTATCCAAAAGTGACTTTTCTCATTATTTTCATACTATATCATTTAATTTTGTATTTCCCCGACGAAAATTTTGCTCGACTAACCCCATGCAGTGTTTGAGGCTTATTTCTATACATTTATCTCAGTTCTATTGACCTGCAAATAGACAAATTTGTCAATTTTCACACAATTAATAGTGTAGTGCCTCCTTATATTGTAGGTTCTGTTTGTTCACAAATACAGCGGAGGCGTGGTTTTGGACTCGGCCATTCTTGTCTCGGTTGCCTATTTCATGTCAACTGCAAGCATGATATATGTCCAACACCTGACCGAAGGGTATCCTGAGCCACTTATTGATCTGAAATATCTAGGGGTTGTTATATTTATAGTGGGGATCTCTGGAAACTTTTACCACCATTACCTTCTTTCCAAACTTAGGGAAAAGGGTGACAAAGGATATAAACTTCCCAAAGGAGGCCTCTTTCATCTGGTTATTTGCCCTCATTATCTCTTTGAAATTCTTGCGTTTCTTGGAATTTTCTTGATCTCCCAAACACTGCTTTCATTCTCTTGTGCTTTGGGTTCAGCTTTGTACTTGGCTGCAAGGAGTTATGTCACTAGAAAATGGTATCTCTCAAAATTTGAAAATTTCCCCAGAGAAGTCAAGGCTTTGGTTCCCTATGTTTTCTAGATCCTTGGATGGGAGTGTGAAAATTATCTTTAAGTTGTAATTTTATGCATATATTGTCAGAAAGAAAGGAATTTGACACGTTGCATTTTAGAGAGGCTTTGAAGGTGGATGTTATTATGCATAGTATTGAAATGATTCCTTAGAGAAAGCAGGAGCTAATGGACACATCTGGCTGCCTGAAATCATTTTTTAAAGTTTTTTTGGGGGATTGTTGAAAGGAAATCTCTTCATTGCACACCCACCTTGTTATACATTGTTGCGATAATTTGTAGTTTAAAAATGACACTCAGAAGTGTAAAAACGACCCCCAGTCCATGGGCGGTCCGGGGTGGGCCCGAAGTCCTCCTCTAGCCGGGGGTGGGCTTGGGTCCAAGCCCAACTTGAGATCCTGGGTTAGGGCTTGGGTTATCATTTTGAAACTTGGCCCGCCTGACTCAGCCCATTGGCCCGCTTAAGACCTACTCAGGGCTTGGCCCGAGGCCTAACCCGTCCGAGGCCTAGTATTTTTTTAGTAAAAAATAATAAAATTTTAGTAAAAAAAATAAAAAGAATAAAAAAATTTGTTTAGGCCCGTCCCAAGCTCGAGCCTAGGCCCAAGCCTGAGCCCATGCCCACCGGCTCGCCCAAGGCCCAAATACCCTTAGGGTTGGGTTTAATTTTTTGACCTGTGAGCCGACCAGGCTCGAATTTTTGGTCGGAGCCTACGTTGCCCGACATGGGCTGGGCCGGCCAAATTCACACCCCTCACTCTAATGTCAAAACAATCCGACCTACTCAATCTGTTAATACACACAACCCTCCATAAACCAACCATCACTCTGTTAATACACACAACCCTCCATTATCCATCACTCTGCCATTTGTCTGCCGTGGCCACCTACAAAGAAAAATGTTATAGGTACCAAATGAATTATTAAAATTTTACCAAACTTCTCGTGTGGGTCTTACATACATGTGATTTGTGTAGGTCTTACCCCATATAAGAGGTTTGGTTGAATATTTGATAATTTATTTGGGATCTCTAGCGACAACGACTTCTCTTTACCTTTCTTCACTACCATCATCATCAATCCCACACCCTTCATTATCGTAAGCCCTCTGTTTTGGAGAGGGGAGAAGAGGAAGCGCGGATTGCTAGGGCCATGCAACAAGTAAAGCAATATATAATCTACCACTGAAAAAGTTGTTAGGTTCTTCCAATAATCAATAAAATAAAAAGTTTCACAGAATTACTCCTACAAAATATAACTCAACTTGTTTGGTTTTGGTAGATTTTTTGAAAATTGAAATTTTATTTTTCATATATTTTTTAGGAGTTTTTAGTTTAAAGTTCATAATATTAAGATTTTACCAAATAAATGATATGTGATATTTTTATAATAGTTAAGGTCCTCAAACATTTTCACAGAGAAATTTTAAAATAGAGATATTTCAGCTCGTCATAGAGACGATCTGAAATTTTTCTAATAATATTATTTGAAGGATCTTAACCAATAAAAAAATATATATTAAATCTCTCATACTACCAAAAGTTGGAGAGGAATGTTTTACTAAATTTTTCATTTTTTAAACTATTTTAAGTAAATTTTTTATTTTCTAAATGCACATAACTTAGATGTGCTTAAAAATAAAATACTTGTGAAAAATATTTTAAAAATTCAATAAATACACAAGAATACAAAAATAAACCAAATTTTTGTTTTATTTTGTTTTGTTTTGTTTTGTTTGTTTGTTTTTTTTTTGTATTTGTTGTATTTGATGAATTTTTTTTTAAAAAATTCTATAAATATTATACTTTTTAAGTGTATTTAGGTTAGATGCATTTAAAAAATTAAAAAATTTGTTAAAATATTAAAAAATTTTATTAAAAACAAAAATAAAAAATTCAATTTTTTGAAACCAAACAAGGTGAGTAATAGACTATGTTTAGCATGTTAGTTTTGGACTAAAATAGTCATAAAAATACAAAATAAGTTGAAAAGTTAATAAGACAATATTATATCTAAATCATAATCATTTTATTTTTTCTTTCACAAAAGTTAAAAAAATAAAAAAATCTATCTCAAACGAGACTTTTTAGTGTCAGGTTAAAATAACCAAAAAAATTAAAAAGTCAACTCAGGCTAAAAAAGCCAGCATAAAGAATAAAAAAAATGAAAATGAAAATTTTGATTGTTCTTAGAAACAGTGTAAAATGGACAATACAACTCTCCTCAAATTAAATAATAATATAATAAAATAAAACAAATAAAGAAGGACGACATCACATCACTTGTATAACCTTATTATCATCGAAAAAATTGATACCTCTAGAAATTTGAGAATGAAAAGCACCAACATTTAATTGATTTAAAGACTGCAAGGAAAAGAATGCAGATTGATAACAGATCTCATGATCGAAAGAAGAACACGATTGAAAGAAGAGTGTTAGGTTATCTAAGACATTCACAGATGCAAAAATGAACAAATGTGCAATGAAGAAGAAAGAAAAATGACAAATATCGAAGTTGCAACGATGAACTCAATATAAAATGGAATATCTAAATGAAGATGAGCTTAAATCAACTTATTGCGATTATCAACAAAAGAATTTACATAATTGCGACACTTTGTCTCAATGTGATGCCTTACAGGGAACTTCAAAGATGGCTTAGAAAATGAAGTAGCTCCAGGAAACTTAAGAGGGCTTAGAAAATCAAGTGGCACCAAGAAACTTACGAAGCATTTCCTTCGATGAATTATCCACTCCATCATCAGACAACAGGTTAAGTAAAAAGGTCGCAGTGCTTGGGTCCACTGAGACAGCTCTATCAGCCATTATGTGAAGAAGTTGCAATGCCTTCAATGTCTCATTGTTTTGTAGAAATCCAGAATGATTATATTATACTCTGGCGAGCATCCATTTTCTTAAGCAATTCATGTGCTGCATCAAGTAGCCCTTCTTTACAAAGTCCATTGATCATTATATTATGTGTACGAACATTAGGTTTCAACCCTTTGGCAGAGAGATTCAAGTAGAGTTCCCTTGCATCATCAAGCTTCCCAGCTATGCACATACCCTTAACTAGGTTACTGTATATCACAATATTAGGAGCTAGTCCAGCGTTTTCAAGCTTTTTAAACAATGCTACTGCCTCAGGAAGACATTGGTTGTTGCATAGGCCATCTGGAAGAGCAGAGTAAGTAAAAAGATTAGGAATTTGGCCATGAGTTTGCATCTCATCAAGAAGCAAAAGTGCATCTCGAGGTTTTCTTGCCTGACACAAGCCAGTAATAAGAGTGCTGTATGTCACAGTGTTTTTTTGAGACATTCCCTTTTATAGTGTCATAGCTTCATCTATCCTTCTGCTCTTACAGTACCCAGTAATCAAGGTATTATAAGTGACAACGTCAGGAGCACAACCCCTATTGACCATAACATCAAGCATTTTCCTTGCCTCATCTACTTGGCCACACAAACAGTATCCATCCATTACAGCATTATAAGTGACAACTTTAGGCACCACAGCTCTTTGGATCATCAATTCAACCACATATTGTGCTTCTTTGGCCATTCCTTCTTTACAATTGCATCAACTAAAATGGTAAATGTTTGAACATTTGGCGAGACATTCTTACCCACCATTTCATTCAACAATCTTATAGCTTCTTTCCACTCACCTAAACAACATACACCTTGAATTAATGATGTGCAAGTGATGACATTTGGTGAAATGCCTTTATCTATCATGTCCGAAAAGAGCTTGAAAGCCTCGGTTACTAGTCTGTCCTTGCAAAGGCGATTGATGACCGTGCTGTAATCCACTAGTCCAGGCTTAAAGCATCCTATTTTCTCCATCTTTCTGAGCAAAACAATAGCACTACTAGTGTTTCCCGTTTTGCATAACCCATTTATTATAATGCGGAAAGTAAATAAATCGGCTTGGAACCCTTTCTTCACAATTTCATCAAAAAACTTAACTGTTGGAGCTATCTTAGCATCAAGACAAAACCCATTGATAAGGGTATTGAAGGTTGTGGCGTTTGGTTCATGAACTAACTTGATCGTCGGAGTATCTGCCGGAGGACTTCCTCTTATTAGACTGTTTTTGCAGGTGCGTTCTGTGAACCATAAGCCCAACAGACCCATCTGAAGTGTGGATCGAGCTGGCTCATCCATCCTCCAGGTTTACAGCATCATCAGTTGGCGCCATCTGTGGGAAAATTACAACTCTGGCTGACAGTTGTGCTCATTGTTGCCGGAGACCCATTCCCAATTACTTCTCCCTCCTTCCCGTCGAGGTGGATGGTTACAACGAGATTCATGGCTTCTCAACATAATGTCGTCAACCCCCAAGTAGAGCCTTCTAACCCAAACAACCCACCTCAGTACTTCACGGAGCTCGCCAACAGCATCAACCGCTTGACGGGCAAAACCAGGCCTTGATCAACGTTTTACTCCAGCGAAATCTCTCTATCCCTCCTCCACCACCACAAGACATCCCACCTAATTGAGAACAGACCCCGAGCCATCCTGTCCAACAAGCCCACCTTTCTAACCCAGAGGGTCTCCGGGTTCCGCCTTAAGACCTACGCCTACCACCTTAGGGCTTGCATCCATCAAATCACGTACCTGTCCCTGAAGGATAGGCCAGTAGTGTTCAACCCCCGCTACACTCTGGAGGGGGTAACGTTCCTATTTGGGATGTGGAATTATGAGCCATGAAACTCCAGCTCCAAGGGGTCATGTAGAACATGCAGAGTAAACCTTCCACGACAGCCAACTCCCCATTTGTCGCTTCCATCAGAGACAAACCCCTACCCTCCAAGTTCAAGATGCCATCGATCAACACCTTCGACGGCACAACTGACCCTGTCGACCATTTGGAGGCTTACAAAACCCTCATGATCCTTCGTACTTTCCCTGACGAAATCATGTGTCGAGCTTTCTCCATGACACTCAAGGGGTCAGCACGACTATGGTTCAGTCAGCTATCACGAGACTCTGTCACTACTTTCTAACAGCTAAGTGACTCCTTCTTGAGCCACTTCATCGGTGCTCAGCGCTAGAAACGTTCGACAACTCAACTGCTCAATATCCGACAGACGGAAGGAGAGTCGCTTTGCAGCTTCGTCACCCGTTTCAATACCGAAGCCCTACAGGTGGAGGAAAACGACGACAAGGTCATCCTTACGGCCTTCATGGCCGATTTACGCCCATTAGATTTCCATTTATATCTTTCCAAAATCCCCCCAACCGCTACGGTCACCCTCCTTTCCAAAGCCCAAAAATATATGAATGCCGAAGACTCTTTGGCAACCCGTCGAGACTCCACTTCCAAAAACCCACCCCCCAAGGACAAAAAAAAAGAACTCGAACCGAGATCCTTTCAATATCTACATCAACCCCCTCAGTATAATGACCGACTTGCTTGTGCGGACCGACCGACACTTACTCGACCACTTGGTCAGTTCGAACGATACACCCTACTCAATTCACCCATGGAGCACGTCTTGAACCACATCCAACGAGACTACAACATGAAATGGCCTCCATCATCACGATGTCCCTCCAACCGGCGAGATCAATCCAAGTACTGCCGTTTCCATCAAGACCACGGTCACAACACTGAGGAATGTGTCAACCTTAAAGACCAAGTGGAGAATCTGATTCGGCAGGGGCATCTCAGTCAATTCATGGCAACCTGTCCCCTGCAAAGGCAAAGGACCGACCTGCAGGGGAGCCACCGTCGACATACTCCCCCCCGACAACCTCCATTAGCTAAGCGAGACAATGACTGAGCCCTACTACAATCCCGAGCACAAGGCAATCTTGCCCTCCTGGTCAGCGAGATCAAAGTCATCGCCGGCGGGCTCGCATACGACGGACCATTTCGATCGGCATAAAGAGTGGAGCTCAGAATAATCCGACAAGGCTCCGACAAGGAAGTAACAACACTGGACCGCCTCTACAAACAGCCCAAGCAATGGCTTGAACCTATCATCTTTATGGAGACAGACTGTGCAGGTATTCGTTACCCCCACGACGACCCCCTCGTCATCTCCGCTCTCCTATCAAACTACAAAGTCAGACGGGTCCTTGTTGACAACGACAGCTCTTCAGACATCATCTTCCTGAACGCCTATCGCCAACTCAAGGTAGGAGAAGAAAAGTTGTCCCCTTTTTAAACCCCACCGATCGGCTTCATCCAGGATCGGGTGACCTCTATAGGCTCCATCAACCTCCCCATCACCATTGGAGAATATCCACGACAGACCTCCAAACTACTCACTTTTCTCGTCGTCGACTGCCTTTCTGCTTATAACATCATCTTCGGTCGCACGACTCTCAATGCCTTCCAAGCTATCACCTCCATCTATCATCTGGCCATGAAATTCCCGACTGACCTTGGGGTCGGCATAGTAAGGGGCGAGTAGATGATGGCCAGAGAGTGCTACGTTGCCTCGCTAAAAGAGGTCAAAATGAAGGAGGCTATGATCATCGAAGGCCTTGATGTCAGAGACGAGGAAGAGTTAGTTAGGGGGAAACCAGTGGAGGAACTTGTCGAAGTGCCTATCGATCCTACCAATTCAGCCAAAACAGCTAAGATTGGCAGTCAACTGTCCTCTCAAGCAAAGGCTGACCTCACAGCTCTCTTAGCCGAGCACAACGATGTCTTCACTTGGACCTACTCAGACATGCCAGGTATCGATCCCTCTTTTATTACTCATCGACTCAGTATTGAGCCCCACTTCAGACCTTTCCGCTAGAGGCAACATATTTTCCATCCAGAACGCAATACCTTCATCGCCATTGAGGTCGACAAACTATTGAAGACATAGTTCATAAAAAACGTAGACTACCCCAGTTGGCTGTCTAACGTGGTCTTGGTTCACAAAAATAATGGCAAATGGCGACTCTGCGTCGACTATTCTGACCTTAATCGAACTTGCCTCAAAGATAGCTATCCCCTTCCCCGGATAAATCTGTTGGTCGACGCAACTGCAAGACATCAGATGTTTAGCTTTATGGATGCCTTCTCCGACTATAATCAAATCCTGATGCACTCGGCCGACCAAGAGCACACCTTCTTCATCACCGACAGAGGGACTTATCACTATCATGTTATGCCATTCGGCTTGAAGAATACCAGAGTAACTTACCAATGCCGGGTTAATGCCGTTTTCCAACACCAGATAGGTCAAAAAATGGAAGTCTACGTCAATGACATGCCAGTCAAGAGTAAACTCTCCTCCGATCACTTGGCAGACCTATGAGAGACCTTCCAAACCTTACGCAAATATCAGATGAAGCTGAATCTAGAAAAGTGCACCTTCGGCGTGGGGTTTGGGAAGTTCTTGGGCTTCATGATTAGCCAACGAGGCATCGAGGCTAACCCCGAAAAAAATAAGGCCCTAATAGAAATGTGGTCTCCCAGAATGGTCAAGGAGGTTCAGCGGCTCACAGGTAGAGTTGCCGCCCTCAACCGCTTTATTTCTTGAGCAACCAAAAAGTGTCTTCTATTCTTCAAAGTCCTCCAACAGACGTTCAAATGGAGCACCGAATTCGAGGAGGCCTTTGAACAACTAAAGCAGTGCATGGCTAACCCTCCCCTCTTCTCTCAAGCACTGCCAGTCGAAACCCTCTTCCTTTACTTAGCTGTGTCAAACATTGCAGTCAGTGCTGTCCTTATTAGGGAAGACGGCTCAGTGTAATGTCCAGTTTACTACATTAGCCACGCTCTCAGGGGGGTAGAATAGAACTACCCTCTATTAGAAAAAATGGCCCTCGCCTTGGTTATAGCCTCTAGACACCTCCAACCTTATTTCCAAGCCCACTCCATAGTAGTTCTCATTGATCAGCCTCTAAAAAAGGTCATGCAACAACCAGAATCATCAGGAAGACTTATGCAATGGTCTGTTGAGCTAAGTCAATTTGAAATCTTTTACTGACCCTGAACAGCGATCAAAGGCCAGGTTGTCGCTAATTTTATCTTGGAGTTCACCAATCTCACTCTGAACGTACCTCCTCCACCAACACACGTCACCATTGATGAAGAAGACCTCCACTCCTGGATCCTCAGTGTTGATGGTTCATCTCGCAAAGAGGGTAGTGGAGCCGGCCTAATCCTCACCACCCCAGAGGGTGAGTATTTTAAGTGTGCCCTCCATTTTCTGTTCGACACAAGCAATAATGAAGCCGAATATAAGGCCTTGATAGTAGGTCTTTGGCTGGCCAGAGACATTGGTGTAGATCATATCCAAGTGTTTAGTGATTCCCAACTAGTTGTCGGATAGATCACTAGGGAGTTCGACGCAAAGAAGGAGACAATGCGAGCATACAGGGACATCGCCATTCTCCTCGTTTGCCTCTTCAGTACTTTCCAGATCAGGCACATCCCTAGGTCAGAAAACTCTCAGGCAGATGAAATGGCTCAATTAGCCTCAGTTGACTAGTCAGACTTTAGCCGTGACATCCATATCGAATACCTGACCCATCCATCGACTTTGCCAAACCCACAAGAGATCTACTTCCTCCACATTTTTGGAGCGAGGGGAATTACTAGACAATAAGCAGTTGGCCGCTAAAGTCAGAGCTCAGTCGTCTAATTATGTCATCATCGGTGGTCTGCTGTACAAACTGGGATTCTCACGCCCATACCTCAGGTGTCTCAGTCCTGCTCAAGCGACCTACGCAATGAGAGAAGTACACGAGGGCGTTTGTGGTAACCATTTAGGTGGAAGATTCCTGGCCAATAAAATTCTCCGTACATGTTACTTCTGGCCCATGCTCAATCAAGATGCTAGTGAATTTGTGCTTAAGTGTGATAAATGCCAGCGCTTTACTTACATCCTCCATGCCCCACCAACAGAATTGATTACACTCAACAGTCCCTACCCCTTCGTTAAGTGGAGCATCGACTCAGTCGGTCCTTTACCAAACCAAGTTCGCTGTGGTTGCCATTGACTACTTCACCAAATGGGTGGAAGTAGAACCCCTTGCTACAATTACTGAGCGAAACACCACCAGGTTCATCTGGCAGTCCATCGTGTGCCGATTTGGAATCCCCCAAATCATTGTCTCGGACAACGGAAAACAATTCGACAATGCCAAGTTCAGGAAATTCTGTGAAGAGCTCAACATTAGACCATGTTTCTCTTTCCCAGGCCACTTCTAAG